CGAGAAGAGGCGTGAAGCGCACGCGGCGCCGAGAGCAGCTTGCGCGGGGCGAGGGGCGGGGAGAGGCGCTGACAAATCAGCCGCCGGGGCGGCGAGCGGAGGGGCAGGGGAAGGAAGGGAAAGAGAGGGAGGAAGAGGAGGAGGAAGATCCCGACGACCAGAAGGGGACCGAGAAAGGGGGCTAGCGACGGAGCGCGGCGGCGCGGGTGAGGTGCGTGCGGCGGTAGGGCAGGCCCGGGCACCGAGCCTCGCCTTCAGCATCCTTCGCTTCCTCCCGCCTTCCCTGCCGACCCCGTGTCTCTTTCTCTGGGATCCTCTCGTGCTGGGGACAGGGAGTGGCGATTCGACGACGGGCTCGTGGGTTCGCCTCCGGCCTCCGCAGCCTCTCGTCGCTGGGCGGTGCGGACTGCAGCGCCCCCCGGGGACCCTTCCTCTCCTGGCGCCGCCTCCGCCCTCCTCGTGCGCTCCTACTCGTTCCTCTTTCCATTTGAATAAGATTTGGGAATTGTTTAAATATATTTTATTAAGAGGGAAAGGGAGACCCGACATCTGCGGAGCAGAGAGAGTCAGGTAAGCACCTGTGGTTCTAAACGGGCCGCTTCGTAAATCCCGGAGAACACCCAGGGGGAGAGGAGGCGTCCTGGACGCCCGGCGGGCGGGCTGCTGCTGCGGGAGGACCCGCTGTGTCAAGTGTCCCTTGGAGTCGGGTGCTCATCCCTTTGGTGAGCGTGAGGAAAGGAAGTTGACCAGGCTTTTCTCCGCTTCCGAGGTTTCCCTCGCAAAGGCTTGAGAAGCCAGGCTTCCCCGAGACAAGCCTTTCCTTCGGGAAAAGCTGGGATGCTGGAGGGGGAGCGAGCATCCAACTTTCCCTCTTTCCTTAAATGCCCAGCCCTCCCTCGCAGTTCTCTCCGTAAAGTAAACAAGCTGTGCCTGGCAGATAATTACGTGGACGCGCGGAGAGGGCAAGGCAACAGGTGGTAAGGGGTTAACAGGTGCGGGAGCGGGTGGGGAGCGGGCTTGCGCGCGCGGAGAACGCCCCCTCGGGTGGCGGCGCGCGTCTCTCCGCCGCCGGCGGGTTTGAACCGGAGCCTGCTCGGGGCAGATAGCTGAGGGCGGGGGCGGATGGTGGCGTGGATTAGAGCTGGGGCGGGGGGTGGGCTCCCAGTTGGCCTGAGGTTCAGCCACACCCAGGGTGAGTAGTTGTCTTCTGTCCCCTCTTCCTGACCTACCTATAAGCCCTCTTCTGGGATTCATTTTCCGAGTGTCCCTGACCCCGTGCCTCCAGCTCCCTTTCTTTTTTCTTTTCCTGTGATCTGTCTTCCAAACGTACTTCTAATTTATACTGTCACCTTTTGGACCCTGGGAAGTTGAAAGAGGGGGTCCATCTTTTCATGCAACTCCACTTGGGAAATGCAGTGAGAACAGCTGTGATGATTCATCCTAATCCATGTTTAGGCGGCGAGACTTGTACTAGCCAAGATGGATGGGGGAATGCTCAATTTTTAATGCAAAAGCTAAAAAAAGGCTTCTTTTGCCCAATGGTTGAAATAAGGGTGCATTTAGAAGAGCCTCACACTTTTGGGAGTTTTACTGATCTTTCAGGGTGCTTCTAGTTTTTTGTTTTACCTCAAAGTTCTCCTTCAAAGTGTATTTTTTGTTTTCCAGTGTGGTGTAAAGGAATTCATTAGCCATGGATGTATTCATGAAAGGACTTTCAAGGGCCAAGGAGGGAGTCGTGGCTGCTGCTGAAAAAACCAAACAGGGTGTGGCAGAAGCAGCAGGAAAGACAAAAGAGGGTGTTCTCTATGTAGGTAGGTAAGCCCGGAGTGTCATTTTGATATTTGTTTATGACTGATAAGTTAGGATGATTGATGCTCTTAATGCTGGTTTTTCTCCCTTGATTCATTTTTGCATCATCACTTGTCAAAAGGATGGATTGAGTCAGAGTTATGTATGGGTAGGTGAATGTGTATATTTGAGCTAATAGTAAAAAGTGAGTGTAATCTGTTTTTTCCAGATTACTGAATTTTGCAGTAATACTGAAGACTTTTTTGTTTCTTTAAAAAAAAGTTTATGTGCATAAATGACTATTTAGGAGGATTTAAAAAAAAAATCAATCTTTTAAAATATAATCAAGAATATTTTTAAGAATCAAAATCATTCATGGGCCTTTGGTTTCTTTTGTCATCATGAATAATATTTGCTTATTTTAGAGTATTCTTTAAAAAAAATAAAACTTCAATATGGCCCTGGGATACCTAAAAAGAGACCTGAAAAGGAAAGGACAGGACAGTCTTTGGTGGAGTGATTCCTTGAGACCACAGGGAAGTGCTTCAGGCTTGCTACTAATATCTCAGACATTTATATAGTTAATTTCCCAAACGATACACAGAACAAGCAATGAGATTGTGCTTATCCTTCCTACCTTTCCCTAAATTCCCACCTTGGAGTGTTTATGAAGACCTTGACTCTCGTTTTCTTATCTTAATCTGTGTTAGGTGGGGTGTTATTTTACAGACTTGAGATTCTTTGGAGGAGTAGACACACACATATATATACACACTCATCTACAGACACACACACACACACACGCACGCACACATACACTCATGCACCACCCTTTCTCCTCTGCTCCTCTGAGCTCCTCCACATTCTCTGGTGGCCCCTGTAGCAGCAGTGGCCACAGGATGAGCAGAAAGGCGGAGCAGGGCATATTGAGTGGTGGGGTGTCTCCAACATAGATGGGCTGCAGAAAAGTTATTAGAATGACTTTTATGAAAGCTTCTGATATTATTTTTTCCCCTCACTGTTCATAGACTCTTTTATATTGGTTGTTCTTAACACAAATCTTCAGTTTAATTACTTCCTTGATCTTAGAACATATTTTCAGAAAATCATGGAATTAAAGTGTTACAAGAGAAAAAACTGATATTAATTTCAAGCTCTTTCTTGTGAAGTGTAAATTATATCTTTTTAGATGGAATTTGGAATACTGAATCAGTGACGTGAAGATAATCAGTATCTTTATATTTGTCCTCAGTTTTCCAAGTTGTATATGCTTACAAATATTCTTTGATTTTAATTACTTTATAATTTAGTAACTTTAAAGGTTTTTTAAAATAATGATAACATTTACTTGATTAGTTTGTAGTGAGTTTAGAAACTGTTGAATATTAAATTGGTACATTTGCTCTTTTCTGGGTAATAAACAGGTTTTCCTTACCTGGAAAACTTTTGTTTTCATTGTTAATTATGAGTTGGGTAAATAAAATTTTATTTTCAGTGATTTATTTTGTTTTTCACTCTGAGATTGTTATATAAAATTGTAATTTGTTTATATGTCACATTAAAAACTCATCTTTACTGTCTGTTATGGTATTTAACATATAGGATGTTCTATAAATTATTTATTAGTTATGTTCTGATGTCTAATTAAAAGTTAAACTCAAACACAGGGTTTAGGATGAGAGGTGACCATGAGAAGAAACAGTGGTAGAGTGCAGTAGTTGGCAAACTTTTTTCTGTAAAAGGGTAGATAATAAGTGTTTTAGGGCCATAATATCTCTGTCTTAATTGCTCAGCTCTGGTGTTGTCATGTGAATGAGCCACAGACAGCAATTACTGTGACTATGTTCCAATAAGACTTCATTCTTACCAAAATAGGTGGTGAGTTAACATAGCTTGTCGGCTGTAGTTTGCTGATTCCTGGTAAAGAAGAGAGGACATGAACTTTATGTTAGACAAACCTAAGTTCTAGTCCAGGCTACACCACTTATTACCTCTAGGACACTGGGGAAGTTACTTAACATTTCTCAGTATCACTTCCCTCATTTGTAAAAATATAATTTAGACAAATGCAGCTACCTTGCAGAGTTTTTGTGAGAATGTCATGATAAAACAGAGCATATGAGTAACAAAGCATACTTTTAAAAAAATTAAACACTTTATTATTTAGAGCGGTTTTAGGTTCACAGAAAAATTGAAGAAAGGTACAGAGGTTTCCTCACCCCACACATGCGTAGCCTCCCCCCAATCAACATCCCTCACCAGAGTTACATTTGTTACAACTAATGAACCTACATTGACAGAGCATTATCAGAGTCCATACTTTACCTTAGGGTTCATTCTGGGTGTTGTACATTATATAGGCTTGGACAAATGTATAATAACATGTATCGTTATACTATCATACAGCGTAGTTTCAATGTCCTAAAAATCCTGTTCTGTTTATCCCCTCCCCCAGCCATTGGCAACCACCAATCTTTTTACTGTCTCCATAATTTTGCCTTTTCTAGAATGTCATGTATTTGAAATCATATAGTATGTAGCCTGTTCAAATTGGCTTGTTTCACTTAGTAATATGCATTTAAGTTTCTTCTGTGTCTTTGAATGCCTCATCAGTCATTTCTGTCTAGCACTGAATAATAGTCTATTGTCTGAATGTACCACAATTTACCCATTCAAACTGAAGGACATCTTCGTTGCTTTCAAGTTTGGGCAATTATGAATAAAGCTGCTCTAAAAATCCATGTGCAGGGTTTTGTGTGAACATACATTTTTAGTTCCTTTGGGTAAACACCAAGGAGCATGACTGCTGGATCATATAGGTAGAATATGCTTAGTTTTGTAAGGAGCCTCCAAACTCTTCCAAAGGGCCTCAGCCACTATGCTTTCCCGCAAGCAATGAATGAGAGTTCCTGTTGCTTCCCATTCTCACCAGCCTTTAGTGTTTGATTTTGGCCATTCTGATAAGTGTATACTGGTAACTCACTGCTCTTTTTGTTTGCATTTCCCTGATGAAATATGATGTGGAGAATCTTTTCATAAAATTATTTTCCATCTATTATCTTCTTTGGTGAAGTCTCTGTTCAGGTTTTCTGCCTGTTTTTTTATTTTTTATTTTTTATTGTTGAGTTTTAAGAGTTCTTTCATATTTTGGATAACAATCCTTTTTCAGATGCATCTTTTTCAAACATTTTCTTGTAGCCTATAGTTTGTTTTCTCATTCTCTTAATGTTTTCTTTCCCAGGGAAGACATTTTAATGAAGTCTAGTTAATGGATTCTTTCTTTATGGATCATGTCTTTGGTGTTGCATCGAAAAGTCATTGCCATACCCATGGTCATGGAGGTTTTTCTTGGAGTTTTATTGTTTCGCATCTTACATTTAGGACTGTAATACCTTTTGAGGTATTTTGTTGTTGTTTCTTTTTGTGAAGGGTGTAAAGTCTGTCTAGATTCTTTGTTTGTTTTGTTTTGTTTTTTTGCATGTAGACTTCCAATTGTTCCAGCACCATTTGTTGAAAGGATTATCTTTGTTCCATAGCATTGCCTTCAATCCTTTGTCAGAATCAGTTGGCTAAATTTATGTGGTTCTATTTTGGGGCTCTCTGTTTCATTGGTCTATTTATTCTTTTGCCAATATTACTCTAGCTTTATAGTAAGTCTTGAAGCCAGATAGTGTTACTTCTCTAACTTTGTTTTTATACTTCCATACTGTATTGGCTCTTCTAGGCCTTTTGTCTTTCCACATAAACTTTATAATCTATTTTTCAATATCCACAAAATAACTTGTTGGGATTTTGATTGAGACCAAATTGAACTATAGATCAAGTTGGGAAGAACTGACATCTGGACAATATTGATTCTTCCTGTTGATGATCACAGACTATATATTTATTTAGTTTGATTTTGTTAATCAGAATTTATATAGATCTATTCTGTTAAATTTTATACCCAAGAATTTTATTTATTTTTTTGGTACTAATGTAAATGGAATTGTGTTGTTAATGTCACATTCCTCTTGTTCGTTGCTGGTATATAGGAAAGTAATCGATTTGTGCTTATTAACCTCATATCCTGCAACCTTGCTAAAATCAATTATTAATTCTGGGAGTTATTTTTTTATTATTCTTTTGGATTTCCTACATAGACTATCATGTTATCTGTGAATGAAGACACTTTTTCTCTTTTTTCCCAATCTAGATTCTTTTTATTTTATTTTTTTGTCTTATTGCATTAGCTAGGACTTCCAGTATGATGTTGAAAAGGATTGGCGAGAGAAGGGTTTCCTTGCCTTGTTCCTATTCTTAGTAGGAAAGTTTCTAGTGTCTCACCATGAAATATAATGTTACCTGTAGGTTTTTTGTAACTATTCTTTATTAGGTTGAGGAAGTTACCCTCTATTTCTAGTTTACTGGAAGTTTTGTCATGAATTTTATCATATTTATCACAAATTTTGAATTTTGTCAAGTTCTTTTTTGCATCTGTTGATATGATTATGTGATTTATCTTTTTAGCCTATGGATGTGATGAATTACTTTAATTTTCAAATGTTGAACCAGCCTTGCATACTCGGAATTAAACAATAGGTCATGGTGTTTAATTTTTTTTATATGTTGTTGGATTTGATTCACTAATATTTTGCTGAGGATTTTTATAAAGCACATTTTTATATATAGGAGCCATGGTCATTATCAAACAAATTTTTCAACAGAATACTTACTTAGTCAACGTATTTTCTTTTATATTTTTATCCTTCATTACAAAATCTATTATCAATAACTAGTTTGAGAAATTGGAAGTGACTAAAGAAAATTTTCTAATTTAACTGTGGCTGAACAAGTTTGGTACACTGTTTTCATAAACCTCATGAGAAAAGTAATATTTTTCCTTTATAGTATTATAGTTTTGAAAGCTGTCTTTGATTAATTGAAGAACTACCAGTAAAGGAAGGAAATAATCTTCAAAAGTGTTGTGAATATGGAAAGTCAACACAACATGAACAACAGTAGTTGAGTCCTTGCACCCACCAGGCACTACTTCCAAACTTTTTTACTCTGCAGTTTTGTGAAGTTCTGAGGGAGAAGATGGGATGCATGTGGGCCACCTCAGCTCAGGGAAACTATTAGTACTTGTGTTCCTTCAGCTTTTATATTTTTATAATCATATAGCCACTTGGCACCTGTTTTGTAGCAATATCTTTTAAATTACAGGTTCCTCATCAAAGTTTAATTATTAATTATATACTAATAATTAACAGTAAACAACAGGTTGTTTGTTTGATAAGAAGCAATCTTATCAAGATTCTCATTTATCTTTGATTTAGGATGCATTCCATGACTTAGCCAAAGGCCACATTCTCAGGTACTACAGAGTAAGAGAGGAAAGACTACAGACCAACTGTTAAACATTTCTTTTTACTAGGCATTTTTAAAATATGGGTTGCAAGAGTGACAGGTAGGTAGTGATAAGAAATATTTTCTCAAATACAGGCTGTTTTTACCTAACATAGTTCCAGGATACACGGATTCAGTCACCACAGTTAATTCAGTAACACCAATCCCTAATAACACAGTTCAAATTTCTGTTACCATAACACATAAACTGTGACTGATTGCATAAAGTACAAACTGCTCTTAGCTCTTCAGCCCACAGATCACTATATAAATAACAGAAACCCATTATGACACATGGCCACATCACATTGCTTCTTTCAAAGTCTGTTGGTGATTGGTCACTGCACATCTGCTATTTGGTTCATACAGACAGCAAAGCCCATGGTTTTATTGCTGGTGCCAGTGAAAAATCCATGTAATATTTTATGAAAATGCATAATTGAAAGAAGAAATTGGCCCTACGTGATGAAAGTGCAGCAAAGACAAACGAAAAATGCTGGCAGTAAAATTAGATTCAAACATAAATTTATTTATGCATGAAATAGCTTGCTGTGGGAATATCGAGATTGCTACAGTTAGGAGGCTCTAGGTGTGCAGCCAGAGAGACTTATTGAAGCTGACAGTATCAACATACACATAAAAGCGGTCCTGATGAATAAGGTGAGCATGCCCCAGGGGAAGTGATGCCACAGAAACACCTGGCTTGAAAAGAACAGTCAGAGGCATATCATGACATTAAAAGTACAAAGGGTAACATTTTGGAAACTGATCCAAATTTACAAATTTACAGATTTTCTAAGGCTTAGAAAAGATGTTCACTCTATGTAGGAAGTTATGCAATGAGAACAAGAATACAAGCAGTGTTGAGACTACTTGTTAAGTTTTTTACAAAGAAATAAAACACTTTAATTCTCAGTGTATTAAATTACACTATACTAAGCAAATATTAGCTTTACTAATTTTTTATTCCGCTGTACATTTATAAATGATTAAGAGAGTTTGTAATGTTTTGACAAAAAATGTTAGAGGTCATGGAACAATGGTAATTTTTAACCACTGATTAATTGTAATTTTCATCTTTGATTATTAAGAGCATGTTACACAACTTCAACTCAGCTTGTGAACCGTCATTTTTTATCCCATAGTATTGTTCAAAGTAAGCATTACCTGCAAAACACACACACATTCTATATATATATGTGTGTGGGTATAATATATACATAATATAACATATATATAAAAAATACTATCCTATATTCTTTAACATATTTAACATCTGCACAATTTTATTTATTTATTTATTTATTTATTTTTATTTATCTTTTTTAAAAAATATATCTTTATTGATTTCAGAGAGAGGAAAGGAGAGGGAGAGAGAGAGAAACATCAATGATTAGAGAGTCACTGATCGAGCCCGGAACCCGGGCATGTGCCCTGACCGGGAATTGAACCACGATCGCCTGGATCCCAGGTCGACGCTCAACTGCTGAGCCACGCCTGGCTGGCCTGCACAATTTTATTTATATAAATTTATAATTAGGTGATTTTTCATTTGTTTTAAACTGCAAATCCCTTTACAAATACATGCAAAGAATAATAGTTCTATTTAAAAGTCTTTACTATGTACTAAACACTGTTTTAAACTTTATATGTATCGTTCCTTTGACCTTCAAGTTGACCAAATGATATATATTTGATTAGTATGTGGTGAAGAGATTTAAATCCAGAAAATCTGAATCCAGAGCTTATGTTCGTAAGTACAAACTATAGTTTATATGTTTTGAGAATTTTTATGAGTTTATTTGAGCCAAAATTGATGACATATCCTGGGGAGCAAGATCGCAAATGCTCCTTTATGTTTTATTTTTATTGGAGGTCTTAAATATTCACAAATTGGAAGTTCTTTAATATATTTAAATAATTTTATTAAATGTAGAAACTTTCCTTGACTGTTTTGTAAAATGTAAATTTAAATATGATGCATGCAAATTTTACTTAATGCCATACTTATCTATTTTCATAAATATATTTGATGAACATTTTCAGTATGATCCTGTAAATTTATTTAAATCTTGTCAATCATCATATTATTTAAATCATAGATATGTATTTCTAAATTTTAAGTAAATTTGGGGCTAGAAACTGCCTCAGACCAGTATTTCTCAGATATGATCTATGAATTATCCGTATTAGATCATGAGGGTTATTAAAAATGCAAATGTCTGTATCTGATATTTACTGAATACTTGAGTCGCTGACTCAATAGTCAGCATTTTTACCTCTCTCCCAACTAATTAATTCTACTGTACTGACCAGTTTAAGAACCAGATTCTTAGAGATTGTTTAATTAACCTTATGTATGAATTTTATTGATGAGGAAACTGAGGCTCCCTTACACTTTTTTCCTTTGATTCTAAATGTGTTATTTCTAGCATACTTAGTAAGGGTTTGCNCTGATCGAGCCCGGAACCCGGGCATGTGCCCTGACCGGGAATTGAACCACGATCGCCTGGATCCCAGGTCGACGCTCAACTGCTGAGCCACGCCTGGCTGGCCTGCACAATTTTATTTATATAAATTTATAATTAGGTGATTTTTCATTTGTTTTAAACTGCAAATCCCTTTACAAATACATGCAAAGAATAATAGTTCTATTTAAAAGTCTTTACTATGTACTAAACACTGTTTTAAACTTTATATGTATCGTTCCTTTGACCTTCAAGTTGACCAAATGATATATATTTGATTAGTATGTGGTGAAGAGATTTAAATCCAGAAAATCTGAATCCAGAGCTTATGTTCGTAAGTACAAACTATAGTTTATATGTTTTGAGAATTTTTATGAGTTTATTTGAGCCAAAATTGATGACATATCCTGGGGAGCAAGATCGCAAATGCTCCTTTATGTTTTATTTTTATTGGAGGTCTTAAATATTCACAAATTGGAAGTTCTTTAATATATTTAAATAATTTTATTAAATGTAGAAACTTTCCTTGACTGTTTTGTAAAATGTAAATTTAAATATGATGCATGCAAATTTTACTTAATGCCATACTTATCTATTTTCATAAATATATTTGATGAACATTTTCAGTATGATCCTGTAAATTTATTTAAATCTTGTCAATCATCATATTATTTAAATCATAGATATGTATTTCTAAATTTTAAGTAAATTTGGGGCTAGAAACTGCCTCAGACCAGTATTTCTCAGATATGATCTATGAATTATCCGTATTAGATCATGAGGGTTATTAAAAATGCAAATGTCTGTATCTGATATTTACTGAATACTTGAGTCGCTGACTCAATAGTCAGCATTTTTACCTCTCTCCCAACTAATTAATTCTACTGTACTGACCAGTTTAAGAACCAGATTCTTAGAGATTGTTTAATTAACCTTATGTATGAATTTTATTGATGAGGAAACTGAGGCTCCCTTACACTTTTTTCCTTTGATTCTAAATGTGTTATTTCTAGCATACTTAGTAAGGGTTTGCAAAACAGTGCATTTTTAAATGAAAGATTGGTAACCATCTTAATGTCCAAATATAGGTTTAAATCATTTCACAGATTTTGTCTTTATTTCTTTATATTCTTCTGTGTCTGATAAAATTGTATTATTTCACTATTGTGTAGTTTTCAAGTGAACCTCCAATCCATTGTTATTTTTCTCAAAAAACATTTTATTTAAAAACTGGTATGAATTACAATGAAAACTATAATGTTAGAGAGCTTATAAATAAAATTGTTAACGAACTTAATTTTAATGAGAAATATTAATGCATCATTTATATAAAAGCTAGTCAAAATTTAGGGGAAGTTCCTATCTTTCCCCATCTTGAAACTTGTGATAGTAATACTTGAATGATAAAACACTCTATGCCTTCAAAAGGTTTACTTGGAATAGTGTTAAGAGCATGAATTTAGAGTCATTAAGACCTTACTTTGAATGTGCTTGTAACCAGTTATTACCTGTGCAACTTAGACAAGCCATTTAACTTTTATTTGTAATTTCTTCATATATAAAATGAGTATAATACACCTATAAGAGATGGATGTTACAAATATCAAATAAGGTGATATAAAGTGACTTTTACAACAAATGTTGATTCCTTCTTTCCCTCCCCCTTCTATTTGTGTTTCATGGGTTAACTAATCTCTGTTGTACTGTACTTGAGTAAAGCTTCCACAATTCTGAATCCAAAATCATCTTCCCACCCAGATCCAGTGTTGTCTAACCTTTCTTTTTCCCCTCATAAGTCGACCTATGAAGTGGAACACAAGGGGTAAAAAATCATCATGTGTGCTGAAAACCGAGAGAGAACCTCCTGTTAGCTTGACTTCCTTTTACTTCTAGTGATAGCTGAATTTCCTTGGTTTGGGTTTTTTGCCCCAGGATATCTTTGTATATGGGCTTCTACAGATTTAAATTTTGTTTTGATTAGTTGTATTTAAAATGAGCTATTAGCCATGTGAGTCCAATTTGAGACTTATGTTTTGAATTTGTTTGTTTTTATAGGCTCCAAAACCAAGGAAGGAGTAGTTCATGGTGTGACAACAGGTAAGCTCCTTGGTCTATATCTGCGGACAATGTGGAAAATACCTTGTACACTGTGTAGCCGGGCACTAATCATCCAGAATGTAATTGTAAACAACCACTGTGTCTGCAGACAAGCAGTCTAAGGAAACACCAGCTCTGTTTAATCCTAATTCTTTATTAAATATTTTTTAGATAAGTAATATTTATTATAAATAATAAAACAATATATTTAATTGTCAAGAATGATGACTTTGAATTGACCAACTATGTTAAATTTATAAAGTAGTATAGAATTTGAGTATTCTGACTTAGTTAGGCCAGGAATTTTCTACCTGTAGTATCCAAGGAAAATAAATTATTTCAGTTAGATTATCTCAAGATAAAATTTAGAAAACTGTCTTTTTTTTTATCTCAGGACATTATTATTTCAGTTGTCAACTTCATGTATCACATTATAGGAAAATATGATATTGTACTTAATCTGGACATCTGAATGATGTCTTTGAAGGTACTTTAAAGATCAAAAAATAAATTATGATATAAGCTTATTCATTTTCCCCTCCTGAATGTATGGTGTAAAGAACTCCCTATTATTGGAGATTTTCTGAAGTCTTTGATTCTTATTAACTGAAAATTACTACATGATATTGAATACACTTAATTTTCAACATGTTCTAATTTAAAGTTTCTTACTAAATTGCCTTATCATATAAATTTATTTTTCTCAAATTTTTAATTTTTATACCAATTTAAAACTAGATCTTAATTTTATAATTTTGCTTAATGTCAAAGGTTAAATTTACTATATCTATTCTAAATGTTAGTGCCACATTTTTTTCCTGGAATTTTATTGTTAAGTTAGTTAAAGTCAAATATAAATCTAATTATTGGCATTAATATATTAATCACAGATATACAGAAAATTCTTTTTAATGCATTCAAAATTATTTATTGAGTATCTATTGTGAAATATAAAGAAAAATAAAACAGATTTTAATGAACTCAAAATACACTGGTGGAGGTAGATAGACATACTGGGAAATGAATAGTANATAAAGAAAAATAAAACAGGATCTCAGATTTTAATGAACTCAAAATACACTGGTGGAGGTAGATAGACATACTGGGAAATGAATAGTAGAGATATATTTAAAATTTATGGGATCACAGGAGTAGGAACAAGGGCACTTGTTCAGAGGAGAGGTTTTAGGAAATTTGATATTTGAGGTGGGTTTTAACACCAGCTTGAGTTTGCTGAGTAAACGGGGGGGCTATCTGAGAAGGATGAAGGCTGCTTGCCAGATGGAGCTGTATGAACCGAAATGGGAAAGACTGGCACATTTGCAGGAAAACATAAGTGACTTAAAATTTTATACTCTCGGTTGGGTGGAAAGTGTCTTTTTGATCCTGTTATAAGATTTTTCCCTTAATGAAAAAAACATTAGATGCAAAATGTACTAATTCAAGTGCGTTTTTTTTCCTTTCATTTTTCCTCTTTGCTCGAAATGTCGATGAACAGAGAAACTGTGTAAAAGGCCTGAACAGGGGAAAATGGGGGTCAAGGTTAATGGGCAAATCCACTAGATAAATCAAGTCCTACGGAAATCTTTTAAACATATCTATTGTTACATGTGTACTCTGTCATTTTGTAACGTAACTAATTTACTTATTCTTGCAATGATAAAACCTAATGAAAGTATAATAAAGTACAAAATGCATTTTACTGTGTAGTTTATATGCATTAAAATAGATTAAGGTTTATACATCTATAAATAATTAGATATTGTAAAAATAAATTTTCATGGCTGGCAAAAAAATTCGGAGCCTATAAAAAGATCAAAATTCACAACGATTTTCTAGATCTTTGTGATTATTGTAACAAAAAAATGTTCATTATCAAGCAAAATTTTCTATTCAAGTTCTTGGGGAAAAAATGACAACCTGAAGCACATAATTCACTATTTTTAATGGATCAACATTCTAGAAATGTTTAAAAATGTGAAGTTGCAGTCACTGCCTTTTCACTAGCATTTAAATTGAACTTTGCATTGTGAATAGGCATTACTCCTCAGGAGGCATCAGCCATGTCCCAGAAGTGGTAAAAGGCAAATATCCAGCCACATCAGCTGTGTGCTCTTCCTGGTTTTAGGCCTTAGGGCCACTTCACCTCCCTCCCCCAGTGCCTAGGACCAGGGGAAGACTCTATCCTTGTAGACCACCTCAGCTTCCACGGCCTACAAAGTCTATTTGAAACCCACTTGCTATGTCCACACTGTTTAATCATTGCCTCTCCCAGCTGGTGACATGAAATCTGTACAATAATCATATGACTGGCACGTAACACTGGACGGCTGACATGGTGTAACCCCTTGGGTTCCTCAGACTGGGACTTACCTGGAGAGAACGCATACAAGCACAAAGCATAACAACAAAAATGTGTCTCCATTTGCTTAGGAGGTAGCCTGAGAAAAAAATATCATGCCAAACCCGAAATTCCTGAGCCGTGGGAAAACAGACAAAAAGAAAATGAGTTTGTGGGCAAACATTGCATCACTAGAGATAAGAGATGCAAGGCCTTGGTTTCATGAGCATCAGTGTTATCAGGTTTAGATGAAGAGGGGTGGTTTCATTTCTCCATTATCTTTGAAATTATTAAAAGAGCAGATTCTCTTGTCTTTTGCCACTCTTTCGTAGAACTCTTTATTTAATCAAAACAAACATTTTTATTTGTGCTTGCTTTATTTGGTAAAATGTATGGAGGGAACATGGAAAGATTCGTTCAGAAATTATATCGGATAGTGTCTTGGAGAATTTTTTGATGTAAGATGGAACCTCTGCTTCTGAATCCAATTTTAAACTATTGATACTGTTTTCTAAATTTTTAACTTATTTTTAAAGATCTACTGAAGAACCATATCCAATTTTTTTTGTTTTGTGGAAAGAAATTTTAAGTGTGTTCAGCAAACCTCTTCTTTTCCACAGTTTTCTTAATGCCTGGCACTTTTGTTCGCATTACAATTATTGAAAATTAATCATATTCAAAACCCTTCTGTCTCAACTACCTCAAGTTTTATGAAAGGGTGAAAGGTCCCTCATAACCATCCCCTACTCCACTGTTTATTTCTGGTAGTAACATGTATGAGCATGTTACATGTAACATGTAGAAAGCATAGTGAAAATGAAGCTCTTGAGTGAGATAAAAGAATTGGCACTGAGCCCCGGCCAGTGTGCTCAGTAGTTAGAGCATCGCCCTCGCACTGGAGGGTCCCTTGGCCAATTCCCAGTCAAGAGCACATATCTGGGTTGCAGGTTTGATCCCAGGACCGGTTGGGGAGTATATGGGAGGCGACTAATTGATGTGTCAGGGGGAGATGTGTCTCTCTCTCTTTCTCTCCCCCACTTCCTCTGCCCCTTCCGCTCTCTCTAAAAATCAATGGAAAAAATATCCTCAGGAGAGGATTAACAAACAAACAAAAGAATTGGCACTGAAACTGAAAAAAAAAAAAAAAAATTTCATGCTGAGTCTGATACAACTATAACTGCACCTGCACACAAGCTTTCTGCAAACTTTCCTTAATAAAATGTAAACCAAACTCAATGACTCATGGCTCTAAAATTGTGATCATTAAACTTGAAGAATCTTTTAGTGATTAAAACAAAATATCTTAACAAAAATTCAATATTTGGGTCCACGCTCACTTTGAAATCTCTATAGCTTTTATTTCTTCTGACTCCTCAGGTGTCTATGGTATGTGTAAATATAGGTCTTTAGAACTTGACAGCTAGTGGAAGTATAATTATTTTAAGTTGCTGTCCTTCCATCATCTCTTAATCTGTTGTTGCCCTTGATTTATCCCAGTGGCTGAGAAGACCAAAGAGCAAGTGACAAATGTTGGAGAGGCGGTGGTGACAGGGGTGACAGCAGTTGCGCAGAGGACAGTGGAGGGTGCAGGGAACATTGCAGCTGCTACTGGCTTTGGCAGAAAGGACCAGTTGAGCAAGGTATGGCTGCATACATTTTATGTTATATTTGTAAGCTTGTGAGCTCACAGTGCATTTCCATGCAAGGCTCTAGGCGGTAATAAGATGCTTACTTGGGGAGGGCTGACTGCCCCTCCCCATTATAAAAAGTACAACCTTTATAGGGTATTTTCTTTGAGGTGCTAACCCAGATAAATGCCATGAAGACTGTACAATAATCATGATTGTTTCACTTTCTGGGAGAAAGTTCATGAAACGAACAATGTAATAAATGTCAAAGGAACAGTGACATTTCAGAAAGAATGGGTGTTTTCATGTTGGCTATGAACCTTGGAATTTCTCTTTATTGGAATGTAACAAATCACATTGTGCACAATTTCAGAATTTTCAGAATGAGGATCATTTACTTGATTTCTTTCTAATGACATCATCCTCTATTAAATGGCATGTTTAAATACCATGTAACAGTTTATTGCCAAATATATCTCTGTGGGAACTGAGGTTCTTAAAGTGCATAACCAGAAATCATGGTTTTGGGGTGGTTTTAAAATTCTCAGAAGAAATTTGACTTTGCATCTTTCATGCAGCTGTGACTCTAGTACAGTTACATAAAAGGTACCATGACTCATTTTAACCAGGTAGGTAATAGAAAACAAGGTGTCAACTGGAAGATAAAACTTAATAGATTTCATGACCCCAGCAGCAGAATGGTTTTTGCTTTTTCCCAGCCTCCGTGGCCTCTTTGCTATCCCTTGAACAAATCAAGCATGCCCTTGCCCTGGTTTTTCCCTCTGTCTGTAAAAGATCTTCCCTAAGATCATATACTTGGCGAACTCCTTCATCTCCTCCAGTCTTTGTTAAATGACAACTTCTCAATGAAGCCTGCCTGCACCTGTTTAAAATTGGCACAATGCTTCTCACCTCTTGTAGTCCTAATCTCCCTACTTTTTCTCCCTTTTTTGCCAGAGCATTATCACCTTTAAAATAGTAAATAAGTTATTTTTTATGTATGTTGTTTATTTTATTTCTCCTCTCCTAAAATATAAGCACCATGAGGGTTGAATATCTTTTGCTCACTGATATTTTACAAGTGTCCAAAAACATGCCTGACATGTAGTAGACAAGTAATGAATATTTATTATATTAAGGAAGAAAGGAAAGAAGGAGATAAGTAAATACGCAGAGTGATTTTCATTTCTGTGTCGTTAATAGTTATAGAGATAGTATAGTAACTGTGGCTATTCAACCAACCAAAAGTTATTATCAAATTAGTTTTGGAATAGATACCCTGAAAACTGCAAGAAAGTAGCTTTATTTGCTGGCAAACTGTTCTGCATTCCTCCACTCCATGTAATCCTGTGTAGCCAGCCTACCTTGATGGATCATGAAAACATTGATAATAAAAAGACAAGACTAAAAACCGGTGATATATTTAGATTTTACCGCATGGAGTTCCATTGTCTGGGACAATAGATGCTAACTATGGAAAATCTGGACTGGGCTTTTAGTGAAGTTCTTCGGCTAACGCTTAAATGTATGGTTGATAATGGGAGTAGTCCTTTGTGAAGGATATGCTTTTCATATAATTATATTATTTGTGCTAATAACTATAGTAATCACTCTTTTCTGTCTGAGATCATAATTACATTTATAGCTTTATTACATTTCAAAGGCTAGGGGAGACTTCAGATATTAGTACAGAGAAAATTAACCTGTTTTGTGTCCCAGACTCTCTGCCAATCTAAATGAAGCTGTGGACCCTCTTCCTTCCAAAAGCGTACACACATACACCAAAAGGCTTAGTGGGATCATGGAGGCCTGTCAACAGATAGAGCCTGTGATTTAGACCCATCCCCTGATTACACAGGTGAGGAAAGTGAAATCTCCAGGGGAAAGTTAGTCCAGTGTCACATAGCCAACTGTAACACGCTGGATAGCAGTGGTATTTTCCCAGCCATTATGTCTCTGCCCCAGCCACTTCCTCAAAACCTAGCTTCCTTTGGGTTTTTATAAACTGACTTATGCTAACCAGATTTAACTGGAGAAATTCTTTGCTTTAGAATATTAAGAAACCAGTGAAACATGTAATCTCCCCTCCCCCCATTTAAAGCATACAATGTGAATTGCAAATAAGGCACGAAAGTACTTTATTTCTTACAAAATTGGGCTTATGTTTTGCCCTTCTAAAATAATGCTATTTATTTTAATATTTTTAAAGCAGAAATCTAAATGCTGTGACAAAATTAACCATTTGGAGATATTTCTCTTATGGCTACTTATAGGTTCTTACAAATTTCTAATATGAAAACAAAGCCATAAAACCTAGAAATTGCAGCATAGTTGTAGGAAAAAAAACATTGAACTGGGAGTTAAAATGGCTAATTTCCATCCCTGCTCTGTCACTAACTGGTTGGATGACCTTTTGCAGATCTCTTAAGACTTTCTCATCTAATGAGGAAACTATAGTAGAAAATTGTGTTGAAGCCCAATTTAGCAGTAAAGTTCTGAATTTCTGTAACTGAAAGAAGATACCAATAAACTTCTTTCATTGTGGTCACATCTATGGGATGTCAAACAATCTAGGGAGTTTAAATAAAATGGTTAAATTTGTTTATTAGAAAAAATGTAATAACTTAATTTTATTCAAATTCTGATCAGAGTGATTCTGGTGAATGGAAATAAGCAATTTATTGTTGCTGTAACCATTTGTTACTGACCCCACTGAGAAACTCAGTCTTCATTTAAGAAATAATGCTTATTCACTGTGTGCCAGAAACTTTGCTAGATATTGAGGTTAAAATAATGAGAAAACCAGACCCTGATTTTCTCTTCATTTAGCTTATAGTCTGGTGATGAAGATCAATAATAATCATCAGACAGTAAGTGTGTAATCATTAACTGTGATAAATGCGATGGAGCTCAGACTGCCGAGAATATCCGAAAGGTGACTTCACCAGCTAGTGTGGGGTCAGGGTAAGAGGGAGCATCCCCAAGGCTTCCCTGAGGAGGCAATGATCTAAAAAAGTGACCGGCAAACAGTAAACAAGCAGGAGTTGAAGGAGAAGCATTCAGGCAAAAGCAGAAACATGAGGAAATCTCATGTGGTTTGAGGGGACCATGGCAAATCAAAGGGGGCTGTGGCTGGAGCCAGAGGAAATGAGGAGGAAGAAGCTAGAGGAGTGCTGTGCGCTGTGGCCACATCATGGCTGGCCATTGCAAGAATGGTGGCCTGCCTTCCTTCCCTTCCTTCCTTCCTTCCTTCCTTCCTTCCTTCCTTCCTTCCTTCCTTCCTTCCTTCCTTCCTTCCTTCCTTCCTTCCTTCCT